ATTTTTTGAGAGCTTTGTTTTTGTAGTCCGGGTTTTCTAGATGAAGAAATACCCAAAAAATTTATGAAAAGCAATTATCTGAAATACCCAGAAATGAATTGATAAACATTTAAAATTGCTAGAAATATTTTTTAACAATCCAAAAAGGACAACCCCCTTATTAAACTAAAAATTGTGGTTTCTCTTACCAAAAAATTGGTTAAATGCCTTTTTTCTTCTTAAATTTTTAAAAATTTTACATTGTTTTTAAAAGTCTTGATTCAATAAAAAAACTTTTGATAAAAATCCCCCCAAATGCTGACGGAGTGTCATAAATTCCTTTAAAATTTGCGATAAAGTTTAATTACGGCAAACTGGTAAAATCTCGAACTTAGAAAAATACAACAAAAAAATTAGCTTAAAAAAACTAACATAAAAAACATAAAAAGGGGGATCACGCGCAGGCCTTTGGCCCATACTGGGCGGTCTTTTAAACCCCACCCATTAACAAAAATTTTCCCAACAAAATTTTTCAATGCTACCCAAGAAAAAATCTCTGAAAACCTATCCACCATTTGCAAGCCCCAATCAAATCCAACCCCCTTCACTATATATTTATCCAACCAAAATTTTAAGTCCCAAAATCCAAAACCTAAAAAACCCAACTAAGTAGCTGTTCCCTCACAACACCCCTATTTCAAAACCAATATTTTCCCTATTTCTTTCAAATCTACTACTTGTCAAATTTAAATCCATTGCGCGGGTTTTCTCTTGGGAACTCCTCAAGACCTTTTTAAAAACCCCTTTTTTAAATACCCATCTTCCATTTAAACACTTCGATCTGTCTCCTCTCTTTCTTCTTCTAACAAGTGAATGTAATTTAAGAGTCTTAAATCTTCTTGTAGGGAATTTTTCAAATGCTAGTTTTAAATTTTTAGCTTCAAAAGCTGAATGTTTTCAACGAATTTATATCCATTCGTAATAGGAAACCTAAAAAGAGTGCAAATCTGGTGGGGCCCCATAATGATTTTTAAAAGCTGCGTATAACCCGGGACTTCGTTGTTACATTTCTTATATAAATCCCAAAAATCATTTGCCTTATTCGACGTTAGATTGCTGTTTTGGGTTTTAAAGGGTTTGCTGCTCACCATAACCCCCCAAAGTCCTTTTCGCAATCTGTATGGTAATTCTACATTTTTAATCAAAAGTGCAGTTTAGGGGACACCCCGAGCTTCAAACCTTGCTTTATTACACGAACGCACTGCCACTTTTCTGACCAAGAATAGAGTTTGCTAAATCCTCCTAAGTTCCCTCATTACTTTTAATTTCAATTATCCAAACCATCTTTGTGCATGGGCGAATTTGCTCATATTACAACTTTTTCCTTCATCAAGGTCATTTAATATCTATTATAAAAAAAACAAGGGGCCCTAAGACTGACCCCTGGGGAACCCATTGTTACAGATCCCCATGGGTTTTAAAACCCCATTATGGACACTCTCTGTTTTCCGTCTGTGAGCCAGGACTCGTCCCGAGAGAATTTTTCCACCAATCCAGACTGCCACTTTTTTTAAACATCTTTGGTGGGAATTCATCAAAAGCCTTACTAAAACAAGTAAAAAAATCAAATTTTTTTTTTCGTGACAACAGCTTCAAAAGTTTACTGAAGAAAGAAATAAATTAGTTAGACAAAAAGGGGCCTCTCGTGAACCCATGCGATTTCATTAATCAAGCTATGCTTATCAAATTGGCTTCTTATAACTCAGCATAACTGACTCAGAATTTCCCAAAAAAATTAGGTCGGCAAATTGGGCGGAAAATTTGACATAACGACTTGTCCCCGCTTTAAAAATGGGAATTAAAATTAGCATCTTCCCAATCAAAACACTACACCTGTTTAAAAGGATAAATTAAAAAAAATTTTAATGGTTCACAGAGTTCCATTTTACATTCCTTAAGAACCCCTTGAAAAAAAACCCATCGGGGCCCGGGGACTTATATTGCTTCGTTTCTAACTCTTTACAACCATTTCACTAGTGACTATAGTTACATAAATTTTTCTTCTTCAGGGCCCCTTATAAAAAATTTAAATTTCTGGATATTTTAGTGTCTTCCTGTGAAAAACCTTTAGAAAAAAATTATTTAAATGGGGCACAAATTTTATTCTCTTTGTCAGTAAATGCCCAATTATTTTAAAGGGGACCCATCTTATCTTTAAATTTTGTTCTATAACCTGGAAAAAACTTTTTTAGTTAGTTTTCGATCCCACAACTTTAATTTCATATCCCCCCTTTAGCTTTTCTTTCCCCCCTTTTTAAGTCCCCTTTAAATTTAATAACTGATTCAAAAATGACCCCATCTTTTTTGCCCCCAGTAGATGTTTCAGCCCATTTTTCATCCATTTTGGGTCATTTCATTTGATCTATTTCTTTTTCACGGGATAAACGTTTTTTGGCAGCATGAAAATTTCAGAAAACTGTCTATTGATAGCTCTATTTGTTTTCCCCAGTCAACAGATGATAAGTGTTCTCTAAGCCCCCGTAACTGCTAAAAACGAA